AGTAGTAGTAGTAGTAGTAGTAGTGTAGTAGTAGTAGTAGTCAGTAGTAGTAGTAGTAGTAGTAGTAAGTAGTAGTAAGCAATAAGTAGTAAGTAGTAGTAGTAGTAGTAGTAGTAGTAGTAGTAGTAGTAGTAGTAGTAGTACTAGTAGTAGTAGTAGTAGTAGTAGTAGTAGAAGAAGAAGAAGAAGTCGTAGCCGTACTCGTAGTCGCAGTCGTAACCGTAGTAGTAGTAGTCAAGAGCGCGCCAAGAGAAGGCCCAGAGGGGTCCCGAGGCGGCCCGGGCCCGCCCCGAAGCAGGCCACGACAGGCTAATGGAGGTCCCGAGAGGACCCAAAACAGTCCCAAGAGGCCCCGAAGACGCCCAAGATGCCCTCAAGACGGCCGACGAGGACTCCAACACGCACCGGGACGGACTCAAGAGGCTCCCCAAGAGGGCCCTGGGAGGCAAGATTGACTAATTTTCCTATGGTTTTTGACGGATTTAGGCGTTCTCGCTTCCCCCGCTTCCCAGCGCTCCCTCACGGCCTTGCTCGGAGGCCCCTCAGATCGCCCCAAGACGGGCCACGAGGCCCGGAAGAGGGCCCCAAGACGGCCCAGGAGGCTCCCTCCATAGCCATATTTGCTCAAGTTTACCTCGAGTCAACGGATTCAAACATATTGGATACATCGGTACCGTATTGTGTCCCATAGGATGTTGCGGCGAACGCGCCTTGCGAAATCTCGATATGGAGTGGTGGAACTTATCAAACTATTGAGTGTTCTTCCACTTGCGGCGTCATTGGCGCTGCCCTCAGTCCCTTCTCATCGCGAATGTAAGCCGAAAGCGACAACAAAGTATTCAATTCGTTGGGGCGCGAAGCCTTCAGGGCAAGGCAACCTATGGGAATACTATCACTTCTTGATCGATTTTGCACCAGCTATGTTGCACTTCATGCGCAACGACAGCGCGCCCTGCAAAAGTTTGCAGGTGCCAGACTGGCGCAATAACAAGTTTCGTTTGGCGTTGCCGGGCCAGCCGCAGAGGAGTATGGAAGCGCACTTTGAGTTCCTCTTGGGGCGGCCGTTGGGTCTGACCATCGAAGTCGCCAGCAGCTTTGAGGCCTTTGCGGAGAACGCCAGGACGTCGAGGCAGGTTGACTGGGACTGCCACAGCGCAGGCAAGTCGAATGAGTGGTCTGGATTCCCCAAAGAGTACTTCGTGGAGTTCCGGGACCACGCCTGGGGCCTGCCCGGCGTGCCGCCAGCCCGGCACCGGGACGTCGTCGCTGTGAGGCGCGGATACCTTCAGAACTACACGGGCCCACCCACGGGGTGTTCTCGTCGATGCCTGGACGATATCTTCTACGATCGCCTGCTTGAAGTGTCGGTATCGCACGACTGGGACACGGCCGTGGTGGCGCTGGAAAATCAAGCTATTGCCGACCAGATCGCTTTGTTTTCGCATGTGAATGTCATTATTGCGCAGCATGGCGCCGCGCTGTCGAACATCATCTTTGCACCTCCAGGAACGCTGGCCGTCGAGGTGGGCAAGGCCGACTTTCCATGCTATCCGAGGTTTATCTGCAAAGACTTGGGTTACCTTTTCTTCATTCCGATATAGGTATCAAGTTTTCAGACCACACTGCCAAGGCATCTCGAAGGCGTTACAGATGACGTCAGTCAAGAGGCGACAAGCAGTTAAGGGAGCTTCGCGACGTCATCGGGCGGTTCGCGCTGCCTCCACAGCAGCGCGCCTCCCACGTGCGCTGCCCCGCTTTCGCAACGTGCGAGGGGCAGCAGTTCGGGCAGTAGTAGAGGTCGTGATCTAGTCCGTTCAGACGTGATCCCGATCTGTTTTAGACTAGATCGTAATCTAGTCCGTTCGAGGTGACAACCCCTGCAGCCTGAGTTCAACATTTCGTTTAGCTAGATCGTTGATCTGGTCCAGCAGACCTCTTCCTCTCTTCCAAATGGTCTAGATCGGAATCTGGTCCAATCCCTTTAGGTGCCGGCTGCCTAGCTGGGAAACATCCTGCGTAGGGTCCGCAGCCTGGATAGGGAATCCCTCTAGGGGGGCCAGCGACGCCGGCTGTGGGAGAATCCTCTTAGCCAGGCGTCGATCCAAGGAGGGGGAATCCTCGATTGGCCGCGCCAGGGCTGTGGAATTCCTCGAGGGCCGTGCGCCAGGGCTGAGGCCGCGCTCTAGGGCCAGCGCCAGAGGCTGGTTATTCATCTAGGGCCCGCGCCTGTTCTGGGGGAATCCCCTATGGGCCGCGCCAGGGCTGGAGAATCATCCTCTAGGGCCGCGCCAGGGCTGGGGAACCCTCTAGGGCCGCGCCAGGGCTGGGGAATCATCCTCTAGGGCCGTGCCAGGGCTGGGGAATCCTCTAGGGTCGCGCCGGGCCGCGCCAGGGCTGGGGAATCCTCTAGGGCCGCGCCAGGGCTGGGGAATCCTCTAGGGCCGCGCCAGGGCTGGGGAATCCTCGAGGGCCGCGCCGGGGCTGGGGAATCCTCCACGGCCGCGCCAGGTCTGGGGAATCCTCTAGGGCCGCGCCAGGGCTGGAGAATCATCCTCTAGGGCCGCGCCAGGGCTGGGGAACCCTCTAGGGCCGCGCCAGGGCTGGGGAATCATCCTCTAGGGCCGTGCCAGGGCTGGGGAATCCTCTAGGGTCGCAACAGACAAACTCGCCACGAAAAAGGCGCTACGGGCACAATTGCCTGGACTCAGACATTATCGTCGTCGCTTGGACGACGCGTAACATCGTTTGTCTGTAAGCTTGTCGTCGTTTGGACGATGTTTACATTAAAGCCCAATCCTCCAACTCGATGTTCTCTTACTTGCAATGGAGGGCCAAGCAGCAAAAAAAAATCATCCACAGTGTTATCGCAATCATGCTGTAATCGACTGGATGTCGTGTGTTACTATGCCTCGTTTTTTCTTTTATTTTTTTTTCCGTCGCCTGTTACCGCACAGTTCCAGGCTTGAACGCCGAAAGAGAGGTGAGTGGATGGGTGCAGATGGTACCCCCGCACCCGTTGCAGCAGCCCTGTCGGCTAATAATACAATGATACCGGAGAGAACCCCTTATCCGAGTCGTTGTTGCTTCTACGTGAGATATGGTTAGTTTTAGCTCAGCGTTCGCTTAGCTTTCGCTTGGCTTTTGCTTAGCTTTGGCTTAGCTTTAGCTTAATCTGAAAAAGGTGTTGCTCAGACTCTGGGGCGCCCCCAGACTCTGGGGGTTGGGGGTTGTTCCGACGTTGTCTCTCGTTGTCCGACTGTGTCTCCTCGCTCTTACCCCCTGCCTCCTTCTCCTGGTCCTCCTCCCTGTTTCTCTTCCTGTTCTCTCTTCGCCTGCTTTTCCCAGTCCTTTTCTTCCTCTTCCTCCTCTTTCTCCTCCTCCTCCTCCTCCTGCTCCCCATCCTCCTCCTCCTCCTCCTCCTCCTCCGCATCCTTCCTCCTCCTCCTCCTCCTTCCTCTCCTCCTACCTCCTCCTCCTTCTCCCCAAGAGGCCTCTAAGACGCCCAATATGGCCTCCAAGACGGCCCTGAAGCGCCTCAAGAGGACCCCACATCGGTTCAGAGAGGCCCCCAAGACGGCTTCCGACGGCGTCAGACCCGTCAGACGGTCTAGGAACGATTTAAGACTGCCAAGGAGAGGCCCCCAAGACGCCCCCACGGCCCCCAAGAGGCCTAAGGAGGCCCCCAAGAGGCTTCCGAGAGGCCCCCCGGGAAGCCCCCAGGAGGCCCCACAAGAGTGCCCCAAGAGGCTCCCAAGAGGCTTCCTTCTCCTCCTCCTCCTCCTCCTTCTCCTCCTCCTTGTCATCCTCTTCCTCCCTCTCCTGATCCTCCCCCTCAGCCTCCCCCAAGCGTTCCCCGACGAGTTTCCGGAGCGGCTGGGGGAATACACAATCAGATAGCTTGGCCAAGCTGGGGCCCAACGTTTGGCCACATAGGCGCTTCTCAAAAAGGCTGGGGGCGGCGGTGATTCGCCGTAGGCGTCTTGGATCCGCCGCCCCCTGTGCTTGCCACAGGGTTGGACGGCGTGCCAGACATTTTGCTGAGATTCTGATTTTCAAACCCTTCCCAGTGGCCTTCGGCCCAGACCGCCTGCCCCTCGGAAGGACCAGAAGGTGTGGCCCACATCGCCACCAAAACGGCCCAAACGGCCCAATATGGTCACCAAGATGCCTCCAAGGCGGCTAGGATCGCTCCAAGAGAGCCCAAGACGGCTCCAATATGTCTCCAAGACGGCCCAAGATGCACCCGAGGCGTCCAAGATGGCCCCAAGATGGCCCAGGACGGCCCCAAAGGCCCCCAAGAGGCTTCCAATGCAGTCCAAGAAGCCTCCAAGGGGACCTGCAGGAAGGCCCGCGGGCACGATACAGCCTGGGCCACGGACAGGCTTGCCGGATTTTGGCGCTTCTGCGGGGTTTCCGGCCCAATTGCCGGCCGAACAGAGGAACCCCCAAATGGCCCCAAGCAGGCCTCCAAGACAGACACCATGACGGCCTCCAGACGGTCCCAAGAGCCCCAAAGGCCGCCTCCGAGACGGCCACGATATTCCAAGGCCCCCACTCAATATTCGTGTCGTCCGTCGTCGGGTTCATCCGCCTCGTCGTCGTCGTCGTCGTCGTCTCGTCGTCGTCGTCGTCGTCGTCGTCATCGTGGTCGTAAAACCTTTTCCAGTTTCCTAATCGAACCCCTCTCCCTCTCCCTCCCCCTCCCCCCCCCCTCCACCCCCCCCTCCACCACCCCCCTCCACTCCCCCTCCAGCTCCCCCTTCACCTCCTCTCCACATCCCCCTCCACCCCCTCGGATGTCCCTTGGAACCTTTTTGGCGGCACCCAGGGGGTTCGAGAGAGCCCCAAGAGGGCTCCAAGACGCGCCCCAGAGACCACTGAGAGGTCTCATCCAGACGCGCTCTTCGATGACATCTACTAGCGGTTTCTGAGGCCTCTCCTGGGCCCCTTCTTGGGCCCGTCTTGGGGCCATCTTAGGGCCCTCTTGGAGCCATCATATGGCCAACAAGGGGCCCAAGAGGGCCCTCTTAGAGCCAACCCGGGGCCCAAGAGGGCTCCAAGAGGGCCCTCAGAGGGCCCCAAGAGGGACACAATTCCTGGGGCCTTCTTTGGGCCCTCTTACGGCCAACCAAGGGCCCAAGAGGGCCCTCAGAGGGCCCCAAGAGGGCCCCAGGAGTTATGTACCAGCGGCCACTGGGTTGGTACATAATTCCTAGGGCCTTCTTGGGGCCCTCTTGGAACCCTCTTGGAGCCATCTTTTGGGGGCCAACCAAGGTTCCAAGAGGGCCTTAAGAGAGCCCCAAGAGGGGCCAGGCCGAAGTCCCACGGAGACCACCGTGTACCTCCTATGTCCCACGGGGGACACAGGGTAACTCCGATGTCCCACGGGCCGATGTCCCACGGGGACCACCGGGTAACTCCGATGTCTCACGGGGAACAATTGGTAACTCCGATGTCCCACGGACCGATGTCCCACGGGGACCACCGGGTAACTCCGATGTCCCACGGGGGACACCGGGTAACTCCGATGTCCCACGGGCCGATGTCCCACGGGCCACGGGGACCACCGGGTAATTCCGATGTCCCCCGGGGGACACCGGGTATCTCCGAGACCCACGGGGGGCCACCGGGTAATTCATGCCCAGACCCCCCACCCCTGCAAAGTCGAGTTACCCAATGTCCCCCGGGGGACACCGGGTAATTATGATGTCCCACGGGCCGATGTCCCACGGGGACCACCGGGTAAGTCCGATGTCCCACGGGGGACACCGGGTAACTCCGATGTCCCACCGGGGGGCACCGAGTAACTCGTGCCCAGACCCCCCCCTGCAAGGTCGAGTTTCCCGATGTCCCCCGGGGGACACCGGGTAACTCCGATGTCCCACGGGCCGATGTCCCACGGGGACCACCGATCACCGGGTAAGTCCGATGTCCCACGGGGGACACCGGGTAACTCCGATGTCCCACGGGGGGGCACCGAGTAACTCGTGCCCAGACCCCCCTCCTGCAAGGTCGAGTTACCCAATGTCCCCCAGGGACACCGGGTAACTCCGATGTCCCACGGGCCGATGTCCCACGTGGACCACCGGATAACTCCGATGTCCCACGGGCCGATGTCTCACGGGGACCACCTGGTAACTCCGATGTTCCACGGGGGACACCGGGTAACTCCGATGTCCCACGGGGGGCCACCGGGTAACCATGCCCAGACCCCCCTTGCAAGGTCGAGTTACCCAATGTCCCCCAGGGGACACCAGGTAACTCCTATGTCCCACGGGCCGATGTCCCACGGGGACCACCGGGTGACTCCGATGTCCCATGGGGGTCCACCGGTTTACCGAATAATGCACAATGCGCCCCTTGCAAGGTCGACTTGCCCGACGCCCTTCGGGGGACACCGGGTAACTCATGCCTGGCACCCCCCCGTGTGAGGTCGAGTTACCCGATGCCCCCCCCCTTGCCACCGGGTAACCCGTGCCTAACGCCCCCCCTGCAGGGTCGAGTTACCCGATGTCCCCCAGGGGACACCGGGTAAGCGGTGTGGAGCGCACCCCCCAGTTACCCGATGCTCCCAATGGGGGGCGCCAAGTAACTCATGCCCGTCGTCGTCGTCGTCGTCGCCGGTCGTCGGTCGCGGGCCGGAAAAACTTGAGGCTTCGGATCCGTTGTTGGAAGGTTTTTGTTGGAAGGTTGTTGGAAGGTTTTTGTTGGAAGGTTTGTTTTGGAAGGTGTTTTTGGAAGGTTGTTGGAAGGTTGATGGAATGTATAAGGCGGCTTCGCTACATGTAGGAAGGTTTTGGAAGTTTGTTGGAAGGTTGTTTGGAAGATGCTTGGCAGGTTTTGGAATGTGTTTGGAAGGTCGTTTGGAAGGTTGTTGGAAGGTTTTGAACAGTTGTGTTGGAAGGTTGTTGGAAGGTTTTGTTGGAACGTGTTTTGGACGGTTTTTGGAAGGTTTTGTTCTGGAAGGATGTTTGGAAGGTTTTTGCAATGTTTTGTTGGAAGGTTGTTTGGGAGGTTTTGTTTGGAAGGTTGCTGGAAGGTTTCTGGAGAAAAAAAACTTGTCGAAACGACCTTCCTCGCCCCCCCCCCCCGGGAACACCTTCGCAAAACCTTACAACAAAAATTTGCCTCACGAAGAATCCAGGAGGGATTCGTCGGAACTGCCGCGCTGGTCTCTTTGGCTTCCCGTCGACAGGGTTCGACTTCCTTTGGGCTTCCCGTCGGCTCGATTTCCCTTGGGCTGGCGTGCCTGCAGAGGCGACTCGAAACCTTTGTAGAACGCGCCGACAGGGTCGGCGGATTTTCTGGGGATCCTATTGATGATTGAGAGTGATGTGTTTTCATGTTTTGTGTTCTTCGGGGGCCCAATGGACCCCCAACGCTTCGAGTCTTCTTGCCCTGGTGCCCCTCGGACTTCCCAGAGCTCGACCCCTGTTTTCATTTTCCGCAGTGCTCCGCAGGGTCTTCCTTCTTCTTCCGCAATCCGCGAGACCGGGGTCGTAGAGATCGGCAGAGGCCGCGCGCGGCCATCGAGAGGGAAACAACTTGGCGCTCCCTGGCCGCATCAGGCGAACCCCCTAAATGCCGCCCCGCCCTTTCAGAGTGGTGAGAGCCAAACCTGGCTGAGGGGGCGTGGGTGGTATTTTTGTTCGCCCTCAGGGCGAGCAGAAATACCGCCCACGCCCGCTCAGAACGCTGAAAGCCAAAGTTGGCTGAGCGGGCGTGGGTGGCATCTCGGTTCGCCCTACAGCAGTTTCGAAAACGGCCCCAAGAAGTGCACCCGCGGTGCTGGCCCCCCTGTACTTTCAGGCCCCCCCCCCCCCCCTCCCTCTCGTTTGACTTT